GCCACTGCACTCCAGTCTGGGCGACAGAGTGAGACTCCAATTCAAAAAAAAAAAAATCTGGGATGGTCTGTGACATACTTTGACCAATGGGATGAGGTGGCAGTGACTCTCTGTACAACCTCAGCCTAGGCCTCAGGAGGCCTTACAGGTTTCACTCCTGCACTCTTGGAACCAGATGGGGTACCTTGCTGGAGATATGTGGTCCAGCTGACAAATATCACCAACCACTGGACTGTAGGTAAGACCATCCTAAGCCATTCAGCACCATTTAAGTCACCAAGCCACAGCCACATGAGAGGACCCAGGTGAGACCAGCAGAAGAACCACCTAGCTAAGCCCACCCCAAAACTGCCAATCCAGAGAATCATGAGCAAATAAATGGTGGTTGCATTAAACCACTAAGTTCTGGGGTAGCTTGTTACACAGCAATGAGTGACAGAAACACCCCTGTGACACTCATATCCCTTCTGCTCCTGACATCTTGTCACATGCACCTCTTTTTAGGTATTTTGTAAGCCCTCACTCCCCTGTGGGTACTCTTACATTCTTGGCCCATATTGGGGGTCAAGACCCACTTCCAGATATTAGAATGGTTTAGAGAGCTGCCCTTTCCGTATCATCATGAGTCTCCCCTTTCTTTCCATTGAGTGAATTCTTTGAGAACCTGGTGTGATCGACTCTGGGTGTACCTTCCAGATGCCCTTTCACTGAAGGACCTGTTGCCCCAGATGCTGGGAGAGCTGGGAGACAACCTTCAGGGACGGCCTGACGGCAGACACCCCCTTCTCTGGTCATCCCTTCTCATATGCAGTGCCTGACTGAGACAAGGGATAATAGCCTGACTACTCAGCCCCTCTTAGGACAACCCTGACGAGCTGTAGATGCCCCAGAGCTGTGAGGCCAGCCAAGGCCGGGCTCACAGCACAGCTCAGCCTCTCTCTCTACCCACTCCTGTTCTGCCCCCTCCCTTCCACGGAAGTTGATCCCACGGCCCCCTTAATAAACATCCCACATGCCAAACTCCATCTGAGTCTGCTTCCTGGGGAACCTAGCCCACAACACTGGCTTTTATGTGCCTTGGCTTTCCCAGTGGCTACTAGCTATAGCTAAACACCCAGGAAGTGTCCAACAGATACTCTTGACTAGATGGATGGATGGGTAGAAGGAACGGGAGAGAGATGGATGTGAGTGTGAACAGCCTATTCATTAAGGGAAGTGGTTAGAGCTGTGCCATCCAATATGGAAGCCACTAGACACATGCCATAAAAAGCCAAGCCTGAAAGGGTAAAACACCGAACTTTAGCCAAAGGGCAGCCATTTTATGCTTTGTCATGCTTCTTGAGCATTTTATTTTAACTTTCTCTCTAATCATGAATAGGAGACAGACCCAATTTACCAGAGATAGTCACTGATGATTGTCTGACAACCCCCCAAGCATGCTTTGTATGAAATACTTTTATCCAAAGTATTTGTCTTCTTGCCATGAAAGGCCAAGCTGGCCTAATCTATTGTGAATCAGCCCTTCATGAACTGTGTGACACAGACCACCACTCCATCACCATGGCGACAGTTCCTGTGTTTATCTATGTGACTGACCCACCCACCCATCCACCTGCCCTCCATCACCATGATATCAGCTCCTGTGAATGCCTACCCCATCCACCCCCAAAATTAAGTTTTAAAAGCATTCAGTCCCAACCACTCACCTCACCTTGTCTTCAGATGCCTTGCCCCCTTCTCTCTCTTAAGAAGTAGATTCACCCTCTCTCTCTCTCTGTTTTTATTTATGTATTTATTTTTGAGTTGGAGCCTCACTCTATCGCCCAGGCTGGAGTGCAGTGGCATACTCATGGCCACCGCAGCCTCGACCTGCTGGGCTCCAGTGATCCTTCTGCCTCAGCCTTCTAAGCAGCTGGAACTACAGATGCACGCCACCACACCCGGATAGTTTTTTGTGATTTATTGTAGAGATGAGGTCTCACCAAGCTGCCCAGGCTGGTCTCGAACCCCTGCGCTCAGGCAATCCTTTTGCCTCAGCCTCCCAAAGTGCTGGGATTACAGGCTGAGCCACCACACCCGGTCTCTCTTTTAATCTACTTTTTAAATAAACTATTTTTCCAATCTAATTTCTGGGCAATTCTTTGCATTCTACCTGCAGCACTAGCCCACTGACCTAACATTTCCATTGAATAACATTTCTCAATCACTGTTTCTCCATCACACGAGCCATGTTTCACATAACTATGTATGGCTGGTGGCTACTGTAGTGGACCACACAGATGTAAAACATCTCTCATTACAGAAAGCTCTCTTGGACAGTTCTGAAGAGATTGCTGACTGTCCAGAACTCCAGTTCCCCCATATCTGGAGAAAGGATCAGGACAGGAGTGAAATACTGTGACTACCTCAGTGCCTTGGGGGTTCCTGATAAACTCTCATGGAGGAAGTCATATTAAGGTCTAGAGACTTTCTTACAAGCCCCAATGCCTAATTCCAGGCTGAGGGTCTGCCTCTAATGAGAAGAAAACAATCTTCAAGTTAAAGATTAAAAACCACATGGCCACTCACTCCAGCCTCACAGTCCCCTATCCCTGGCCTCCCACTCACCTAGCTCCAGTGTCACAGCCCCTCAGCTCTGGCCCCCTACTCACCTGACTCAGGCTCTGCCTTCCTGTCTTCTGCAGAGCTATGATGGCCCTTCGTAGGGGATATCCCAGGGCGACCACTGGCCCAATGAGGTCTTGCTCCTCCTGGCTCAGAGCAGACAGCAGGTCAACCGCAGCATCAGAGTGTGATTTGTGTAGGTTGAGAGGTTGGAGTGACCCCTGAAGAGGTGGCAAGCAGGTGTACGGGCTGAGGGACTGAAATACAGACAGGCTGGACATGTCAGTTATCACAGGAGCACCTAGTGGGGCTGGAGATTTTAAAAGGTGTCTTTGTGACCTTCCATACAGGGGCTAATATTGTGGAGGGCCTGGAGTCCTGCAAACCCCAGCTCCCTTGACTGTTTATTCAGTTTACCCATATGTAAAACAAAGGCAATCACAAGCTACTTCACAGGATTGCAGTGAGGGTGGGGAATGTCCACACTTAGCAGCTGAGTCTACTCCTGTGTCCTTGACAGATTCTTAGCCACTCTCTGCCTCATTCCCTCATCCACAGAATACTGCCCCCCACCCACCCAGGGTTGTCGCTGGGTTTGGTGAATGGGGGGGGGGGTCTGGCACCAACAGCAGGCGTCTGATGAGGGCATGGCCTCCGCTTTTTTTTTCCCGTTAAACTTTGTTTTAATGGATCTCAAAATTCTGTGACAGATTTTTGGTCAAGTTGTTTCCATTAAAAAATATTGATTTCAAAAACTACTAACTTCAAACGGCCACACGCAAAAAACAAAAATGGTTCGCAAAACTTTCACCTTTCCTTCTGAAAATTTTACGATGCATTGTTATTAACCAGTCTTTTATTCTGACCTCTGCTTTTTGAGCAGCTTCCCTGCCACATGCCCTAAAGGCTGCGTGAGGCACTCGCCACGGTCCAGACAGAGGAGTGGCTCAGTGACTTGCCTGAGGTCACACCCCAGTGAGCGGGACGAGCCAGACCTGGCCTGAGGGTGGTGCTCTGGGGCATAAAGCTGAGCCCCCTGGCCCGCAGTGGACGCTAATACTCACATAACCTGGAAGGCCCCCCCCCTTAAAGACCGACACATGCGGCCAAGGGTCTTCGACTGAAGCGCCTGAGTCTCCTTGTGAACGCCCTCCCTTCGCGGCTGCTCCACCCAGGGGCCCTCCAAGCCTGCAGTGGACCTTCTCTCTCAACGCCAGGACCCACGCTGCCCCACGCCCCTCGGCCAGCCGTCTTTGTCCTGTGGTTTTGGTCTCCTCTCGCCCAACCCAGCGTCTGGCAGGAAGTGGCTGTGCAGGGACTATTCCTGGACTGAACTTCCGGGGGCCTGGCCTCCGGCAGCTCCCCAGCGGAAGGCCTGGATGCGAGCCAGGGTCCCTAACTCGGCCTTGATCCGCTAATTCCGCATTCGTCCGCTCAGCACCCCTGTGGTCAGGTCGGCGGCTGGGCGCCCCGGCCCTGCCCGGGAAGCCACCTGTGCACAGTTGGAAGACAGGCCGCTAGTGGGCAATCAGCGTCATTGCGGCGGAGGCGAGGTGGGCGCCAGGAGACGAGAGACTGGGTCTCCGGCAGGAACATTTCAGGTCAAGGACGGTGGGGGCGGGCGGAGGCGGGAGGGAGCAGCGGGGAGGAGAGGGGC